AGTTTGAGACTTTATCTGTAATTACAGTTACTTGTTCTTACCTCAGTGAGTAACTGGAAACACAACACAGCCAGAGAACAGCAAAGTTACATTTCAAGTTCTGTCTTTTTTCCCCTCCCAAAGAAAAAAGAATGCACAAAATATTTCCCTTACACATTCAAAGCTGGCAAGAAGTGATGCTTAACACAATTAGATTTAGCTTTTCACAGGTGCTTTCTAGAGGTGTCACTGGGCTCTGCAAAATGGTCAGAAACCAGCAGTCTGGTGCCAGAAACCCTCAGTCTTCTAAATCCATAATATGTCATTTGGCTCCAGTTTCTCTTTTGCCTAGGTTCATCAATTCTCTCTCTGCATTCTTTTATTAGCAGAAGTGAATAGGAAAAAATCAGAATGTAAAGAAAATTCAATACAATCCTTGGTTGTATGCTCCCACTTCTGGAGTCCAAATCCACTGGGCTGCCTGCAGTGTTAGCTAAAGCTATAGAAGTTAGTTGTGTACAAAGGGGGAAAGTGCCTCGTTTTGGCATTGCAAGTTAGGCAGTGAGAATCGGGCACTGCCCATCTTAGATGCAGGCAAATCCTGTTCACCATATCTCACCTCAGACTCACCATGGCCTTAAAGTAAAACAAGCCATATTTTTGCAATTGCCCCCTAGGCCAGCATCATACTTTGGTGGACTTATTCTTGCCACCACATGTGTTTTCTCAGACATAATCTTTTCTTTCTAATGGTAAATTGAACAGGTTTCCTTACAGACTACTTTTTATCCAGTATTTATTTTCCCTGAAGGGATAGAATTTTACCTAATACACTGACATACAATCAGCATAATCACTGCAAGCAGAACTCTGCCAACACCACTTGAAAGCGTACTGTGTGAAATCATAATGTGGTGAAAAAAAAGAATTCCTTTACAACTCAAATCATCACATTCTCCAGATAGCCACATTTACAACACAACGTGTGAAAAAGGGTATAGATTTATCAGGCAGTTTTAAGAAAACACATTAACAGAAAAAGCTTAAAGGGGAGTGGTGGCTTTTATTTATAGTGATGATTTTCTTCTGTGAATAGCTCTAATGTGTTCTTCAGCTAATTTTTGCAAACCCTCCTGTATTACTCATTCCAGTATTAATGCAGAAACGAACACTTCCTTATATAATCTTATTTCTCTTTTGCTAATAATATCTAAAATTCAACACACTACAAGTGTTTGAAAGGCATCAATACTATTTGCAAAACCAATTTATTTGATCAACCCCAAAATATCTAAGAAAAGTGTTAGTCACTTTTTCCACAGAATTTCACGTGCTGCAAGAAACAGATTGTACTTCTCATATTATCAAAAACTTACTGTCAATTTACAAATATATTAGGCAGGAGTATTCTCATGTAAGGAAACATTCTGAGTTCAAAACCCAAGTTAAAAGGGAACTCTGATACTTTATAGCACAGCAGTCTCCCCTTTTAGAAGTCTGAACACTAAATACCAGCTATTGCCCAGTGTCTTCCTTATTTCCTTAAATACTCAACTTTCCTACCACCTTCTATACATACAGACTCGTGTCACTGCATACATGCAGTATGACAACTTATAGACAAATATACAATCCTTATGATCAAATTTTATCTCATAACAACAAAGTCTAAAAGTATAGCTAGCCGTTAATAATTAGATTATGAGAGGAGACTTGCATGAGAAATGTCTCACCCTGGTATCTCCATAGAATGACCTAAAATACAGCACATGGAAGGATCATCCAACTGCCTTCCTCCTACAAAGCCTTTTACTTCTCTTTCTTCCATAATTTTTCAGATATTCCAGTTTGTCTGGCCCTATAGGTCACCTGAATCTTAGAAAGGTTCTCACAACTCAGCACCTGTTCTTTTTCCTTGCACTCTTAACCATCACAATGTCTCTCTTATGTTACAGATTCTTCAACAGAATCATCTTCTAATTAATAACCTTCACTACCCTCTATATTCTCCTCAGAGTTCTCCGATTTAACCTGTTAGTCCCTCCAATATTTAGCCCTACTGTATTCATCAGATCTAGGTTTCAGCCATAGGCTCATCTTTGTTGATGGCAGTAGCCTCACCTTAATCGTTCTCAAAACGTAACTTTCCACCTTAGTGTGGACAGTAAATCCCCGAAAGGCAAGAACCTGACCAAATGTGAGGATTGCCCCTGGCTAAGCAGGAACAAGCATGGCACTGCCTCCTTCACTCCAGCTGCCACCCTCCAGTTGTACTTTGGCTTTCAGATGGTTAAAACTCCCACTAGGTTTTAGAATGCTTGGCATAACAAAGCCCCGAGTTCATTGTCCTTTTAATGTTGTCACTGCTGTGTAAATCCTAAGTAGTGGCAGATCACAGGAGATAGTTTATGGAATATATGTCCTGGTGCTGTTCAGGTAGTCTCTATTACAGAAATAGAAGCGAGAAGTTAATATTTGAGTTCAGGTTTATAATCCCCCATCACAAGTAGGCAATAGAAGCACATTTGGAAGTTTGGACACATTTGGACCTCAGTTCATAAGACGGTCTATTTTTGAGAGCATGTAAACTAAATGCCTGGCAGGTAGTGAAATAAAACCTTTATGCCCATGTGAATACACATGTATATATGTATTCCTATTTATGTTATGGCAACTGCACACTTTTTTTCATGTTGTTTGTACCTTCATGTGCACCAGAATCAATCAGCTTCAGTCCCAGCAGTTCTATTAGTTTTTATCTCCCAGCATTTTCTAAAAGTGGCTCCTGGTGACATATAAATAAAAGCAGCTTTTTACAGGAACAACAGATTTATAACTTTAATAAGACTGCCCTCCTTCCTGCATTAAAGTCTACAGTACATGACAAATCAGGTTAAGCAAGCTGGTATCAAATCTGAAGCCAAATGCATTTTTGAGCCAAATCTTAATTCTCCAAAGAGCTTCAAGCATATCTTGAAGATGTTAAATTATTGATAAGGAAAATCAATTCTTTTTCCAGCTCAGGCAATGTCATACAGTCACAGTATATGCAATAGGTAAGGCAGATTTTCAGTTTTATTTACTTCATGACTCTTTAGAATTAAATTACCTACTTTTTCCTCTTTAGAATCCTGATAAACAGACACTACCGACAGCTTAACAACTTCTGTTAACTTCAGATAAGAATAAAAATTTGTCTGAAAACAGACTGTCAGAAGCAGACAAGAAAACCATGAGACGCCAGCATACTTCTAAGTTTATTTATTAAATTTGTATTTTTCCACCAATATAATTAAACCTAGACACTTCAGCAAATAAACTACAATGTGTTCTGATCTGACTATGAACAGCTTCCTCAAAGGCTCTGAAATAATAAAACATGTTCTATCCAGGAAGGCAACCAAACAGCAAACAATCCTGGGAGGAGGCTGGCAGATAGCAAGAATAGTTCTTTGCAAACCTTCCCAAACTAAAAACATTAGTACTATGTATTTCCAAGTTATTTCAGTCCCAGTGATTTGACACAACAATGTGCCCATTTGGGCACAACACTGCACATGGTGATGGAAGCATTTTTAAAAGTACCCCAATCATTATAGCACAAGATACATAAAAGAGGAAAGAAAATAAAATGTTACCAATCTTTCCTGGTCTAAAGTAGAATAGCAGTAGTGACTAAACAATTATTTACCAAGGATCAACAACCACCCTCATTCCCTTTCCCAGAAATATCTTAACAATCAGTTTTAGGACTTAATGACATCATATGGTGAGTTAATGGAGAATTCCCCTTAGATTTCCTATTGAAAATGTCCAATTTAGTAAAAAATGTGCAAGTACCTGACTCTCCAGGTTAGTTAGTTACTAAGCTTCTCCAACTGGATACCTCAGATTATACCCCATTGTACTGTTATACACAGAACAGCCTTTACAGATAAAAATTAATAGCTGTGTGCACACGAACAAAAATATATTTTGTCCCTTGAATATCCTACCAGTTAGGCCACCCTCCAAGATGCCTCTGCCAAATGCAAAAGATCTGCTCCCAGTTCTCTGATGGGTGTCCCCAGAACAGAGAGAAAGCAGAGTATTTTCTCTAAGTGATGTGAGCCAGCAACGCTACAGCCCCCAAAATGTTCCCAAATGAAACCATTCAGCAGAGTGTGGCTGCAATTAACTACTAAACAAGCAAATGCATATTTTTGACGAATAAAGCATCTCTGAGAAAATCCCTTCTAAGTTCCAATATAGGACCCGCAATAGTGATAAGTAATATACTCCTGTTTTTCAATCAGCCACAATTCAAATGGGAGATGGCAAACATCTAGATAGGAAAACTATCTGAAAAGCATATAAAATAGGCCCTCAAAATAGAGTGGAATTAATTCCTTTGTTGTTAGTAATTCTCTCTAAGCTCCGATTTTCACGATACTGTTCCTGATCTAAGTAAATGAGAAATCAGCTGTTGCAGGAAGCTCACCTAAGTGCTCTAGAGAGAGCTCACATATCTAGGCAAAACACAACCACTCGCGGAAGGTAAATAGCAGATGTTGTTTTTCCTTCTCCTTCTTACTTAACTACTACTGTATCTGCCGCCTCTCCGCCCGTGGAGCCAGGCAGGTCCCGCACGGTGAGGGAGCAATGGGCGGCGGCGGTGCCAGCACCCCGCAGCTCTCCCCGGCCACCGGCGCCCACGCCCTGCCAGGCTCCCAGCCCGCAGCAGAGGCACCGCCGCCCGCCGCCCGCCACGGGCTCCGCCCTCACAGCGCCCGGGGCCCGGCCCCTTTCCCCGCCGGGCCTCGGTGAGCCCGGGGCCGCCCCGCCTGGGCACGGCTCCGGTGCGCAGGCGCGGGGCCGCCTCTTCCCCGCGCGCACCGGCGGAAGCGGCTCCGAGCGCGGCCGCCCGCGCCCCCTCCGCGCCGGGAACGCCCGCGCCCCGCGTGTCCCCGCTCCTGCGTTCCCCCCACCGCGCGGAAGGGATGGCGGGCACGGGCGCAGCCCTGCTGGTGGGGCTGCTGGCGCGGCTGGCGCTGGTGCTGTACGGGCTGCACCAGGACCGCGCCATGCGGGTGCGCTACACCGACGTCGACTACCGGGTGTTCACGGACGCGGCGCGCCTGGTGACCGAGGGGCGCTCGCCCTACGGGCGGGCCACGTACCGCTACACGCCGCTCCTGGCCTGGCTCCTGACGCCCAACGTGTTCCTCGCCGAGGCCTTCGGGAAGCTGCTCTTCGTGGCCGGGGACTTGGCGGCTGCTGTCGTCGCCTACCGGGCCCTGCGGCGCCGGGGGGCCGCCGCCGGCCGCGCCTGGGGGTGCTGCGCCGCCGCCTGGCTCCTCAACCCCCTGCCCATGGCCGTGTCCAGCCGGGGCAACGCGGAGGCGCTGGTGGCGCTGCTGGTGCTCGCCACCTTGTACTGGGTGGAGGCGGGCAGCGTGGGCAAGGCCGCCGTGTGCTACGGGCTGGCCGTGCACATGAAAATCTATCCCCTGACCTACGCGCTGCCCATAGCGCTCCGCCTGCGCACCGGGCCGGGCCGCGCGGATGGGGCGCGGGGCGACAAAACGGCCAAGTTCACATTCATGGCGCGCCTCTGGCGCCTTTTTGTAGGGATGATGAACTGCGACGTGCTGCTCTTTGGAACAGTTGCCGGATCCGTGCTGGCTGCCTTGACTGTGGCATTTTATCGCCTCTATGGCTGGGAGTTTTTGGAGCATGCCTACCTCTATCACTTGACTAGGAGGGATATCCGTCATAACTTCTCTCCCTATTTCTACATGTTGTACTTGACAGCAGAGAGCAAATGGAGTTTTGCCCTCGGGCTCGCAGCTTTCCTGCCCCAGCTGCTTTTGCTCCTGGTTGTGTCCATAGCGTTCTACAGAGACCTTGCCTTCAGTTGCTTCTTACACACCGCTATTTTTGTGACTTTTAACAAAGTGTGCACATCCCAATACTTTGTTTGGTATCTCTGCCTTTTGCCCCTCGTTATGCCTAGTATTAAGATGTCCTGGCATCGGGGTGTGCTGCTTCTCTTTCTGTGGTTCATCGGACAAGGCCTGTGGCTTACTCCTGCGTACTTTCTGGAGTTCAAAGGATATAACACTTTCTTATTCATATGGTTGGCAGGCTTGCTTTTCCTTTTAATTAATAGCCTCATAATTGTTCAGATTATTTCACATTATCAAAAAGAAGCACACATTGCAAAAAAAATGAAACAACGGTAATAAACTGACCAAAATCCAGAAACAGCCCTACTGTCTTTGATAAGGCATCACATATCACCAGCATTTTATTTAACAAAAGTGCACCGAAGTTGTAGTAAAGCACATTGTGTGTAAATGTTGCTGTTTCAGGGCTGTGAGAGCATTGAGACCAGTCAGTTGCCCTGAGCAGTGTCAGCAGGTGTACCTGTCTCCTGTGTGCATCTTGAAACTGCATTGCAACCCTCCCTCCAGCACTGCTTCCAGCTCTGTCCTCTTACTCCTCACTAGAATCCCTGGAAGCACCAGTTCACCACTTAACCATGTTTGGGGCTCTGATGAATGGGCTCTCAGTACCCATCTTCACTGACTGTCTTCACCTGCTGTCTCCAGAGATAGTGGGACTGTGCCCTGCTCTTTGACCGCTGTGCTGGGGCCACCTCTCTTTCTGCTCATACTCCCTCATGGAATAGCCCTGGCACCTTTTTTTCTCATTCTCAGTGTTAGCCTGCTTGTTGATGACCTCTGCCTTAGTCAGACTAACACAGAAGATTATAAAGGTGGAGTTTGATTATGAAATTGGAGTTTGACAGTTTTTTACATTCCAGTAGGTCAGCGGGGTGTTTGGCAAGGCAATTGCTCAACATTTACAGTGGGGTTTATTTTTTCTTTTGTTTCCACAATAACATTTTAGCTATGCACTGTTTGTGGCCTGTACCTGGTCTTTATGTCATTAACTCTGAGACTTTTAAATTTATTTTAGAATTCAGATACGCCACTCTTTCACTTAGTTTTGCATATTCTGTTCTGTTTGAATTTTTGAATAGATTTACTGCCCTTGTCATGGAGGAAGATTTCCCCATATACCTGTCTTGGCACACAGAGATGTATAAAGCTTAAATATTGGTTTCTTCCTGCCAGGTTCTAGAAGAGAGGCCGCTGCCTTAAATTTCAGTTAATATATGGTTATTGTGGGTGTTAACAGTAGCAGATGCAGAGTCAAAGTACAGTTAGAATGGTACCTATGTTCCAAAAGCACTGGAGTTTATACCAAAACAGTAATTGGAAGTCTTGTTTCTCAGTGATTCTGTTCTCTGCTATTAAAAAGAAATAAAAATATGAAAGGAGTTGAGGAAATGGAACAGTTGCTAGAAGAAAAGGAAAGTTTTGAAATAGATAGCTCTACAACTTGACAAAACACATTTATTCCCATAGGAGACACAGGAAGATTTGGAATTGAGTGCCCGGTGATAGTGAAAGGAGAGCAGAGACATTTTGGAATTAATACTCTCAAGGACATCCCATAAGAGGTCTGATGTACACAGCTTTTGACAGAGGTGGAAACAGGCAATGGATTTTAGTAATATCTAGTTTAAAATAGGCATATGCCAGATAGAAGAATTTTCATATTTGTCTCACCTTTTAGTTACATCCAATGCAAAAGTGAAGCCCCTAGTGTGTAACATAGAGCAGGGCTTCAAGGCAAAATAGATTTGACCACTTGGTGGAATTCCTGTTGATGTCACTGGGAAAGGGTATGGCCAAGTGGATTTGCCATTCTGCCTCTGAACCCTGGTGTCTCCTGAGGCAGCCCTCTTCCTCAGGACTGAGTGACTTCCAGCTACTTCATGTACAGGATCTCCTTTCCTGGTTGTAGTGCTACCTCGTGAGATGGAATTACAGTATTTTGATCTGTGAACTTTTCCCATTGCTTCTCAACCCCACTGAGGTGGTTATATGAAAGGAGAGGAAACCCCTGAGCCCCCACAGCACAGAGCCAAAGGCCATGTTATCAGGAGGTGTGACCATGTCCTTATACTACTCTAGCCCAATTTAGACATTCTGATGTATAAGAAGGATGATTTCCCTGTGATTTCCATGGTCAGAGGATTGGGGGGGGGGATGTTTCTGGCCCCCACTGGAAAGCTTTTCTCTGCCATCTGCCTTTTCACTTGCCTTCAAGCTGTGAAAATCCTGACTGCCTCTTTGTAAATCCAGAAATTGGATAAGGCAATGGATATTCTTTTGACTATCTTGGTGTTTTGGGGCAGACGTGGCACTGATTTCCTTCTTTGTCTGGGATGAAAAAAGTTTTATAGCACTAGCTTGTCTACATCTTCCACTAGAGGTGCATCAGTCAAAAAACTGGTGGCATAAGCCACTTGCACACAGTTTTATATTAATCAGCAAGACATTTTGTGTGTGCTGTGAGTGTGTGAAGCAAAATCATCCCATGTGGCTTTATTTTCCAAGGCACAGTAGGATATACCCAGCTTCAGCAGAAGACTGAAGAGGCTCAGGCTCTTCTGTGCAGTACTTCTGCTCACTTCATCCTGATGTCCAGGCAATGGCTCATTCTCCTTTGCAGCTGATCTTCCATTCTCTGTTACACATTTTTCTGTTGCAAAAAGCTTGTTTTCTTCCCCCAGAGCAATGTTCTATATTGCTTTAACAGACCTACTTATGCTGTTTGCAGACACTTCCACACCTGTGTTTATCCCTTCCTGTTGGCAAAGAAAGCAAATGCAAGCCAAAAGGCATTTCTAACCTCAAAAACCTTACACAAAAAACAGCATTTAACTTACTGTATTCATGACAGAATTGTATTTTTTTAAGTAAGAAGTAATTTCCTTATGGAAAACACATTCTTGACTTGTTAATAACTAAATCATTTTGAAAAGGCAAGTTTTTCAGCAATTCTGCATCATTTTTCAGGATACAAATTCTGAAATAGCAACAGGAACTGAAGGATACCTTCCCTTTGAAGGTCAGTACTAATCCTGCAGTCCTAGATTTACGGCCGTCATTTTAATAATCCAGGAGGGGTCCCTCTTTTTATAGTTGTTTTCTAAATCACCCAAATGTGTTTGCGATTCAGAAGCAATTCAAATGACTCATAAAAAGCTGGATAAGAGAAATAAACTGAAGGAGACAAACAAAAAGATGTTTGAGAGTTTAGATCTTGCAAATTGCTTTTTAAAAAACTATTCTGTAGTTAAATGGAATTGAGTAACTTTATTCATTTAAAAAAGGGTTAAAATAATTTAATAGAGTACCAAATAAATTATAGTTCCTGAACAAGTTATGGTAAATAGCCCTAAAAATTCACCAAATGCATTTCCTATGGAACATTTATTGCATTTGATGCTGTTCAAATTATTTTGCTTAATAATGTTGTGTCCATTTATCCTCTTGTAATTAGGAACTGAAGTGTCTGAGTATTGGTGTCCTTCCTTACCATGAGTTGCAAAACTATAATGCCAACTACTTTGCTTTTAAAAGGTTGAAATGTCCATTGAAAGGTGTGTCATCTGCAGAAATTTTTCACATTCAGCTGAAACCAGCCCTTAAGCACAAAGGACAAGAGGTGAAAGAGAAAGGGAAAAGAAGAATCAAGAAAAGTAACATTTTTTGCCTTGATTTTTACACTGTAGCCTATTGTCCAAAGATTCATGACTGGATTCTCGTATGACTTCAGGCAAAGCTCAGCATTTAACAATTATTTGCTTTAAAATTTATAAATGCAATTATTAAAAAAGCAGGGTAACCAAAATATAAAAATAAATATCTCGTTCAGTTTTAGTGTGAGGATGCTGAATTACCATCTATGACACAATGTACTTAGTCCTTATTGAGTAACTTTTTTGTGTGTGTGTGTTACTTGCGTGGCATTGACTCTTGTAATAGTAAAGAAAGCAATTAGGTGTGCTAAACTGAGCTCATCAGTTATCTTTTTCAAAGAAACCACGAGGCTTTTACATTTAACAGCAAGGGGAAACACCAACATTTTTCATAACGTTGTATAGATAAAGTAAATGTTAAAAGAGAGTAAAATAGGAGCAAATGGTTTGCTTTTTTTATCTGAGAAGAATGAGTCATCTAATTCCAGAGGGCTGCAGAAATACATAGTGAATGCAGGGAACCTCAAAATATATGAGGTATTCCTCACATATTTGCCAAAGACAGCTGCAGAATGCATGACCTAGTGATAGCAGCTTTATGGAATAGGATTACTCTGAATTTAGGACAAACCCTTTACTCAGACCAAAACCCAACCTCTCAAGCAATTTTCTTGCTTAAGAGCATATCTGCGTGCACTATACTCACAAGCCCAAACATTTACCTGCACATACAGAAGCAAAAGAAAATTCCCTGTCAATACACCTTTGAATAACATTTTTCAGAGCTACCCTCTGTACAAGAGGTTCCTTAGATAGTTCTTATATTTAGCACTCAGGATCTCTAGTGCCTCTAAAAATGAATTACATAAATTTTGATGGATATGCAAAAAAAAATTGTATGCTGCATGGATCATGAGGTGTAATAGACACAATAAAGAACCAGCTAATTAGGTATTTGAAGATGCACATTCTGCTGGTATCCTGATGTTCTTCCTTATAAAAATCTGCACTAGTCACATTTGTGTAGGAGACTTATTTCTTTATGCATGATGAATGAGGTCAGAGACCTAGTGAAATTATTAGAAAGATAAAAATTTCTCTTGAGGCAGTACCATTGTTTTGAGGTTTTTAATAAATTGATGCAATAAATTCATGCAATTGTTGCATGCATTTTTAATAGCTGGAATATCTATTTTTCTTTAGTATGGTGAAGAAGACCAAAATTTGTCATTTTTTAATGGTGGAAGTTGATAGTACTTTGAACAGAATTCCTCACGACCCCTTTGTGGTACATGCTGAGAGGGGTAGGGGCCTCTGCAGAAAAGGTCACTTAGTGGGCTGCAGTCTTAGTTCATGTGTAGGTAAAGCTTTAGCAGCAGTCTCTTATCCGTAGAGCTTAACTTTCAGTCTTTAATGATCTCTTCAGATAAAACATTTCATAGCTTGTACATAAGGAAATTACACATAAGAGGTCCTCCCTGTTTTTCATGGAAATTGGTGGGGAAGCCAGCTAGAACATCTGTGGGAGAAATGTCAAAAAGAAATGTCTGTGCCTGATTAGCTACAAAGACAACTTCAGCCTTGGAAATCAGCTGAAATGCAGGCAAATTGAGCAGTAAGCCCATACAGTGAAATTTCCATTATTTATATGCAGGGTATTTGATCAAAAGTGCTTTCCCATTTTACAGGAGGAAAATGGGATCTTGATAGCAGTTGTCGGGGTGGATGAATATAACTTTCCTTCTCATTATCATAAGGGGGCTATAGAATGTTATATGCTACAGAAGCACTTGTGGAGTTGTACAGGTGTGACTTGCATAAGCTATTATTAGGCAATATTGTTGGTGTAGCAAGAACTTATTAGTAAGCAGTTACTCTGAAACTGCTTTTTGAAGGTTAACTCAAGTAAAAATCTGATTCCTGCTTCACAAGTCAGCAGCTATGTTAATTGAGATGGTACTGTTTTGACAGTAATTTTCCAAGGAGAGCTGCACTTTGTGGCCCATATGCTTCCACTCTGTGCAAAAGAACATTAATTCAAATCCCCTGGTGATCTCACAGTCAACATTTTTTTAATCTATCCTATGTCCCTCCTACTGATCCAATAGATTGAATTAGCCAGGAAGCAGGCTTAGAAAACGAAGTGGAAAAAAAGTATGATTATTCTCCCCTTATTTTCCATCCCTCATAGTGTGAATATGTTGAATAATTAATATTACCTTTTGGAAGAACAGAGTCCCATTTGAGCTAGGTGTTAGAGTACTTTGTTAATATGAAGTATTTTACCCAGATTCACCTGAGAGAAAATTGACTGGTTGGGCTACATGGACGTTTGTCAAATGATAATAAACTACTGATAATTTATGTCCGCTTCAATATTAGCACTATTTTGTCATATCTTTCTGAGATATATACATAGATATGTGTATGTGTGTGTGTATGTAAAACAGAGTAACTGAAATTAACAATGCTTGTAAATTCTTGTTTCAAGCTTTCCTTACTCAAAGACTTTGGAGAACGCATACAGCCGTAAACCCCTTAAAAGAGAACGAATGCTATATCAGAGGGAATTAATAATTAATTAATAACTAATTATGTTGTTCCCACACCTGACACCT